CCCCCCCCCCCCCCCCTCTTCATCCCCTCTTGCTGTCTATAAATGGTAGTCTTGCAGTATGTAGACTGATTGTCCTCAAGTTGTTTTCATTTATTGCTTGTAACTCATACCAAATAAATAATGTGTGGTATTTTTTTAAGCTGAATAGGAATAAACATTGTGTATCTGGTGAACCTGAAAGTAATAGAAATATAACAGGCCCTGTTCCATGTAGTAGTAATACATTTTGAAAATTTGGATAAACTCTTCTTTCATATAATGTGTTAAAATGTACCATAACAAAGTAATTAGTAACACTTTTAGCCTATTTTTTTATAATGAAATGTTTCATGCTTATTTTGAACTATATCCTAATAATTTACATAGTATTCCCACACTAGTCAAAATATTGTATTTTTCAAGTATTCTTGGGAGTAGTATTTATTTCAAGTATAGTATTATTTATTCCAAGATTTTAGGCTTATTGCAAATAACATGTAGAGGTAACTTGAACTTGCTAATTTTCCTTTCGCTTTGCAAATATTTCCAGCTTTGAAGTTTCAGAGTCATAGACTGCTCTTAAAACTCTTGCGTGTGTGTATTCTGGATATTGTGCCTGATCTAAGGACGCTCTCTGTCTATCTGAGTGATTCTTCTACCAATCTGGAGCTCACTGTTGAATTACTAATGAATTTTCAGGAACACCATACATATTTTGAAGAATGTATTTATAATTTTGTGAAACTCGCAAGTATGTATATAATACAGGATGTATCACAGACCACATGCCACTATCACAGTGGGAGAGTGATGCACAGTGATTTCAGTAATATTCTAAATGACAAAACATATATAATAAGACACTGGTAACTTTTTATTTAACCAAAATTGAACAAGTGTATATATGTATATATCTGTGTATGTGCTTTGCAGAATGGCATTGTCTCCAACTCTTATGATCTTAGAGTAACAAAAATTCAGTCTTCAGTGTGACTTTTAAATGAATTAAGGCATGTGTATTTATATTAAACAGTGTGTTATATGATGTATAATTTCCAGAATATGTAAGGATTTTTATCATTTAGTTAACTGGTAGATTCTTCCAAAATTAACACTGTATTTGCACGTGTTAAGACACACACCAAACAATATATTTGTTCATACTTGCAAACGTTATGTGAAAAGTACAAGTTTTCATCTTTCTTTTAAAATTAAATTCTCCTGAGTTCTTTGTGTTTGGAAAAGTCAAATATTACAGGCTAACTATATATATGGATTTGTGTAGGTTCAGTTATTGATTATAGCAGGTAAGTGATTGATTTTAGATTAATATTTTTTAAATTGTACAGAACTTAAATTCACTTTAAATTTTTAAAGGATATTTCATCTGCTTTTATTTATATATTATTTTTTTATTTATGCTCTAGTAATTATAATGTCTTAACCTGTATGTTATGTCTTATTATAATATATCTCATTTATATTACCATGATTGACATGAATATCTAATTATATAAGCTCTGCTTTTATATAACAAAGGAATGAATAACACACATGTCAAATAATGTGCTATTTTATTTAATGCTTTACATTTAAGCTTAGTATTATGAAGCTACCGTTACCTTATAAATTACTATGTATGGAATGGGGGATCCATGGTAAACATAAGCACAATTAAATTTCCATTTAAGGTAGCTGAAAAAGATTTCCATTGAAACTAAAATTCAATCTCTGCTTCAAAATTCATGAACACAAATATTTTAATTATGTCCTGTATGAAAATATTTATGCCTGTCAAATTCAGATCACTGCATCTGCAGTTATTACCCACAGCACTCTAATGCTACCTATTTGTTAAAATAATTTTAGTATGTAAGATGAAAGTACAAAACATACTGCAGAGAGACAAAGAAATTCGAGAAAGTTTGAAACTTGAAATGTTCTTAACCACAGACTTTTGGCAAAAGGAAATTGATTAGAATGAAGTTGTTCTGTACAATTCTATCTGCACCTTTTCTAGTATGTTACTTAGCACTTTATGAACTTGAGATGATTAAACAAATTCAATATTTGATGAATGAATGTAAAGGGAAACAGACAAAGTAAAATAAAATTCACAAAGTAAATTACTCTACAATAAATCCCCATACAGAAAGTCCGTTATTAAAATTGTTACCTTGGAGGGAGATGAATACCCTGCCAAGTATGCTGTCAGGAAACACAGACTTGTGTCTGGATTTGACATGTATTTCAAATTGCTTTAAAATTGCATTCTTGTTCAGATCTTTCCTAATTACATGTCACTTTTATAAGAACAAAATCTGAAATCTTTGCTCTGTGTCTGTGTGCTACTTGAGGTCAAAGGTATTTTCACTTCAGCATCACCTGTGGAAGTACCTGCTTCCTGTTTGTATGTGTCCCATTTATATATTGTATATAAATCTATCCCAATGTGCTCAAGTCAAATTTTCAGAACTGAAAATAGCCACTGATCTTGCAGGAAAGGTCAGCAACACCAGCATTTAGATTCTACACTTTAGATAAACAGTGTATTTTATAATTTGTAATATATGCCTTTAAACTAATTCTTACACCATGGTCTGTTTCTGTTTTATAGTTAAATTTTGAGCACTGCATGGAATCATGACAACTGAAGAAATACATCATGGAATTTATGTGTGTTTGCCATGTCTTTTACAGCTGTACATATGCTTACTCAACAGTAACTGTCATCACATGTGCTAATGCTTATTACTTTTGTTTTCACCTATTATTATGTGGATAATAGGTGCATAAGTCACATTTTAAACAGAGTTTTTACATAACTGGAGTGTTATGAAACTTCCCACCAAGAATCTCGTAAATGTGGTAAAACAGTGTTTTATTTGTATATCTGTGTATGTTGTAACTAAGTATAATATTTGAAGTTGTACAGCTTGTATGTGCTATACCTGGGTGCCAGAATCTTACATGCTGTATTATATTGCTCTATTAATGATCTTTATCTTGATACTCCTAATGTGTGTGTGAATAGGTCATGGTAAGATAATTTTGATTCTAAGTTCAAAGCATGGTTTGTATTCTTGTCATTGTTTTATTATTATTACTTTAAAAAGCCAAAGTGAAAGTGAATGTTTGCAGATATGTACAATGTCATTTGTGGTTATCTGGATTGTGACATTGTAGTCATGTAGGTGGTTACTATCACTGAGAATCGCATATTAACTGAAGATGGAGACAATATGTTCCTTTTAAAAATGGGTAAATAACCTGTGACACTATACAGTGTTGGATCTTAGAAGACCACGATTGACATCTATACTGCTGTGAGAACCTCAAATCTCAAATCTGGAAGACTTTTACTCCCATTAACTGTCATTAACCCACTTATGCAATTCTCGGATCAAAAATAATTGCCTATTTTAAATATTTAGAATCATATTGAAAACAGTTAACAGTATATTTACCTACACTGATGTGTGACTGTTATTATAACATTCATAAACAAAATATTGTTTTCTAGAAGAATTACATGTTTGATCATAACAATGTTGGTGGTTAAGACATATTTATTTTCTATTTTCTGAATTCAGCCTAAAGGCAAGCTTGATCCAAGAAGTGTGACCTAGCCAAAAAGAAAACCCTGCAATTCAGTTCAGTCATATTTTCCTTGCATTCAATGTGATGGCAGTTTTATTGTCATAATTAATTAATTTAACACATAACTAAGGGATGAGACTCATATGCATGGTTTCTTGAGAAATTTACCACAAATACATTAAAGGGATAAACAGTTTATTTCACTTGACTTTGATGAATAATTTATAAAGAAACTGAAATATAGGATGTGATAAACGAACGTTAGGCAAATTAATGATCATACATTCTTTCTCTTCCTTTAAGAGTATGTGGTTCAGCTTTATTTTTCAGTGTTTGTGATTATCATCCACTTATTAAACATTTTATTTATTTATATTATGTTTTGTCACAGCAAGAAGCTTTCATTATTGTTGTTTTGTTATCACCACCACCACCACCATTACTATAATTATGTGAGCTTTCTTGTCTGATTTTAGCCAGTAATTAACTTCTATGAATGCTATGCTTTAATTGCCTGAACATATGTGTATTTTGTTTAATTTATTCTAGTGTATATTTTATATTTTATGGCTCATGTAACTGTGTTTCTCAATGGGCAACAGCATGAATGAAAGGGGTTATACTTCTTGCAAATACGTCTACTGATTTAACAGGAAGGAGTTTTACAGCATATAATTTGATGATATTCATTGACACAAAATGAAGTGTATATGTATTCACATTCGAAAGAGGGCTGTGTGGGTCACACATTTCTTTTAAAATCAAGATGCATATAACATACATTGTACCTTTGAACCACAAAACATACCATTAAATTGTTAAATATTACCAAAAAGCCAACTGTGCGGTATATTTAGTTTAACCTTTTTTTGTGCAAAGTAATCTATCATGAAATGGCCTTTGAGAAACACTAAATTAAATTTTATGCTCTTAAAGTTAAGTAAATTGATCTAATGCTACATGTACAGAAACCTAATATTCTAACAATGGATAAAATTTTAACGCATGGTAACAAGTCTTTGCTCTATGTATGTCAGTATCAGGTTTAAGGGTGGAGAAATACATTTAGACCGTTGAAAGAGATACAGAATATTAATAGGTATAGTCTTGATTTTCTTCAGAAGCCTAATGACATTTGAAATGTTGATATGGACTGTACAGTGCATATATTGTGAAGTTTCACAGATTACTAGCTCAATTCTTTGCTATGGAAGTGAGTTTCATTCTCTGAGATTTATATGTACATATTGCTCATAAAGTTCAATTTTAGAATTTAAAATAAGGCCCTTTTCTTAAATTTAGATAGTATGTGAAATTCTAGGTTGTGACATTGTCTCATATAAAATTAACTTTCATTTATAATCTTTACGTGTAATAGTTTTCAACAAGTTCATCTTAATGAAATCAGAATTGTAAAACACTTTTTTGAAAGTGTTGATTTAATCATACCATATAACAGTATTTCCCTAATAATTTAGATTTGCAGAATACTCATGCATTCAGTCAGTCTCTCAGTCAGCTTCTGTCTTGCAATTACTAAGGCATTGCAAATTAACTGTGCACAAATGGAAGTTACCTATTCCTATACACTTTGATTAATGATATGCAGATGAATCCAGTAATGGTGACACAACTGGTATTTTCATAATTATGCCCTCATATGTTTTATTTCTCTTTTAGGAGAATAGGAAGTTACGACCTGGTGAAGTCTTGGATGAGAGAAAGGTGAGACTGACCAAAGTGCTCCATCTTTCTTCTGATGCTACTAAAGGCCATATTTGCCAATATTCACTTTCATTATTATATTTTATTCCTTTATTTATTAATATATGCAAAAGTTTTATTTTCAGTTGCTTCATTTGTTATTCTTTTGTTCTGCATATAGAACCCTTATGATTTCAGTTGGTCTCTTTTAAAGAACCATTTTACTGATAACTGTGAAATACAAAAACAGTTTATTTATATAATATAACAGAATAACCATTTTATTATCTTTTAATGAAATTCGTACCAGTGTGATATTTTAATTTTCTTTTCTTTTATTTCAACAGGGTTTTATTCTGTGAACTGTTTTTTGTATTGTTTTATTGCGTATCCCTGTTTTGTCTTGATGTCCCTAGCATTCCTACATCAAGTAAACATATAAGTTCTACAAACTTATTCCCAACCATCTGGCTTTGTTCCTTGTTTCATTTCATTTGCTGTCATTTCAATTATTTGTCTACAGGTTGGAAAATTGCGGCCTGGTGAGGTTTTAGATTCAAAGGTGAGATTTGTGTGCGGGTAGCACAAAGCTGACCTCATTCTTTGGCATATCTTTTGGTTTGATTTGTTTCCTGGAACTTGATTTATCTTGTAGATGGATGTGCCTAGCTACTATCTATACTTCCTTTCTTATCTGGATTGGTTTTCATGAATATCAGGGTATCTTAATTCCTTTGGAATGAATTCTTGTTTCTGAAATTTAGTGCATCATTCCATAGTGCATAAAAATATTTTATTCTCATTATTAAATATGTATAATTAAAAAAAAAATGTGAGCTAAATATAAATGATGCACTAAAATTATTGTATTTTATTTATTTATACTTCAAAATTGAAGATTTGGTTTTAGAGAATCAGCGTAGAAAATATAACAAATTACAAAGTATGCCATACATTTCATGGTAATTCAGTTATATTAGTCTCAATTCAGATGCTAAGAATGCCAAAGAATTACAGCATTTTATATTTTTGTTTCAGTTTGATTTGTATTGTTTTTATTGCTTGTTTCACATTTATTCCTTAAATTTTTGCTTTATATCTTTAGTTCAGTTGTTTATTTTCATTATTTTATTATTCATAAGTTGTGTATTAATCAGACTTTATTATTATTATTATTATTATTATTATTAGTGTTCTGTCTGACGACCGGTCCATATGAACAGGATCCTTCCATATAACAGAGGAAGGGATCTCGTCCTGGACAACTGCAAGACGAGAAGGACAAGCAGGTTAGATTCAGTGGATGAAAAATGTCTTTCTGTAAGGTAGTTTAGAAAGCAATGTTTCACAGTTAAACAAGTAGGCTTTTGTTCAATAAAGTAAATCATATAAATATACTGAACAAACAATAAATCAAAATTATAACAAGATGGTGTGAAAATGAAATAGTTTTGGTATAGAAACTTTTGTACATATTGGCCTGTAATTTCAACATTTTGAATTTTGATAATACATAGTACAAGGCTGTAGTGATTGTAAGCAACTAACGTTACTATTTCACAGCATATTTTGTGATTTCAATTTAGGATTGGTGTGACCAAAAAAAAAATTGTAGTGTTAAGTATGAGTAAACTAGAAATCGCTTACAATATAGACATAAATATAAAAGAATTTTCTGTATCATACAGTCATTATTTAATGTAAATAATTATACATAAATTTACAAAGCTTATACTGTATAACTCACTTGACTCATAAATATATCAGTATAATCATTAAAACTAAATAACTGTATGATGTACAAAATACTGTAGGCTTGTAACTTACTTGACTCATAAATATTGGTAATCTACATAGAATTAAGAAGTGACTTCCTGTAAGAAAGAAATAGCAATCAATACGTTTAATACAGGGAAGTGATTTACTGGACAAAGAAGGAAAGTGGACACTATCAAAAGGTTAGAGAGATGATTTTCTTTCATGCAAATAACAAGATGGAATACCTCAGTTCCTTATATTAAATCAGTGTTCAGTATGATTATTACAAAAACCCTTTTTTAAGTTTCTTTAAATGAACACAAAATTGAAAGAATGAATATGTAATTTTCTTTCTGATTTAAACATAACAGCTTTAATACAGTATTAAATATACATAAACATCTTCAGTGTCTCTTATCAGTTGCTTCAATTAAAACAAATAAAACAAGAGCCTCATTGTATGACTTGAATTCCTGGTTGTGTAGTCTGTGTTGACAGCAAATATCATAGAGTAGGCTGCTGTTAATGCCTCGGCTGGCATTGTGCAGTTGTAATTGAATTGGCAGTGCTGCAGTCTGAGCACAATTTACATGTTGTAGAATAGACACCTCACAAATGACATGTAAATTATCTGCCTGCTTGAAGTGATATAATGTAAATATTTTTCTTTCCTCTTGTGTTTTATTTATTTTTATTTCAATATTTACTTTATTGTGTTACTTTGATTTGTTTAATTTATGTTTTTATTATTCATTTGAAATCAGTATTATATTATAATACAAATCTTGAAGGCTTGTTACTAATATCCTGGATTTATCCCAAGTGTGCTCCATGTGTTTTCCAGTGTAGGTTGTATGTGTTGTATGTAAGTATATATGTGTATATATTTATATGTATAAATATGTATACATATGCATATGCAATATGTATTTATATACATATACCTATAAATACATTTTTATATGATTTATATATGTGTATAAATATATGTTTTTAAATATATTCTGTTAAGGTAAGTTAAAATGACATTCTCCATTGTTCAAAGTGCAAAAATTATTTTATTTTTTATGCTCAAGATGTTCATATAAGTTGGATGTTTATGGAATTTGCCATTTCTGTTATTTTCTGTAAATCATTTATTAGTGAAGCAAAATATTGAAGTTGATTAAGATATACATCTTAACGTACTGTTGGGAATATTTTATACACAGTTCAGGAACAGTAAATAATATTGGGACAGTCAGTTAGTTAAAATAGTTATTACTATTCTTTCAAGTAACAGAGCTTCCTCAGGTTTGAGTTGTCAAAAGTCTCTCATATAATGATTTGTTTTCCTACAATTTCCTAATATATTTTTGGGAACATAGTGTTGTAAAGTGTACATCTTGCATAACAATTCAAAGGTATTTATGTATTCAAGATGCTTTAAAACTTATTTTCCAAATTTTAATTATAGCGCAGAAGACCAAGTGCTGATGTACGGCGCCCAAGTGTTGCAGAATTGGGAGAGATGATTGACAAGCCATGTACACCTCTTAAAGCCATTGGAGATCCTGGGCCACCATCAATAGTTGATATCCAAGAGAGCTACTCAGCAGTAGAAGGTATGTGATGCTTATTAATCTAAGAGATGTTACTAGTTTGAGGTTTGGATTATTTTATCTTCTGGCTCTGTTTCTATAGGAATAAATTGCATTTCTGTCCTGTTCAGTTTCTCTTTTTAAACTAAATGACCAACTCCTGAAGTTCATATGGTACCTTGTTTAAAAATAATTCAGGCTCATTACCAGTAAATAAACAGTGTTTTGGTCAATTCTGATTGTATTGTTACCACTGCTTGCCACCTAACAACCTACCTCACTCCCATTCCTGTGACACAACCTGTTCCCCACATGATTTATGCAAGAACTGATAACAAACTTTCCCTGTCATAAATATTTTAATGTGAATCACATACAGATATTTATGTATACAACTTTATATACCCTAAATGTTTTAGGGACATATGAGAAGTTGTAAAATGCAGCTAGATACTTTGTCATAAAGTATATTTACAGTTATTATTAAGAAAATCCTATAAATTCCTCTCATGATTTGCCATATAAGTTGGAAATGTTACGAGTCATCTTCGATATGTTGTTATAGACAGAATCATGTGAAGGTATGTTTTCTGTTGTGCATGTTACATATCCATCTGTTTATGATTTATTAAATATAATGTGTATTTTGCAGATCAGATTGGCTACATTACAGTTCAGGTTGAAGGAAATCCTGCACCCACATTCAAGTGGTACAAGGTAAGAAGAGAATATAATTTTTAAATACAAAATTAATATTTTGGGTATCAATGTAGTTATGATAATCTTTGTAGCTGAATGGAGAATGGTTGCAGCTAAGGAAACTACTCGTTGTTTATCATGAAATATAGGTCATTGTGGTTGCTTCAGTTGTGTAGAATATAATTGCTTAAAAGTTTTTTAACTAAAATTTCCAAACTTCTACTGACTGTAGTGTCTCAAGAATTTTAAATTTATGAAATAACGTTTCATGTTGCAACAGTATGAGGGCCTGAATCATTAACACATTGAATCTTAACACATAATAACACGTACACTGTTTAAATGTTGTCCTCTTTCCCAGGGTATGACAGAAATTATTGAAGGAGGTCGATACAAGTTCCTAACTGCTGGAGATACAAATACAGTAACCTTGTGTATGAGAAAGATTAAGCCCAACGATGAAGGCAAATATACAATTACAGTAAGCAATGTACATGGAGAAGATTCTGCCGAGACACAGTTGTATGTCTCAGGTGAGCTTACATTTCACCATTACTAAATTATTCACTTCCCTGAACTAACTTTATAATAAGTGTGGAAAAACTTACTAAATAATTGCTGCACATTTCTTTATATTACAGTGAATAAAATGATTTAATTCCTAACATTTAATTAATTTCAGTGATAACAGAACATAATGTTTCTCTGGAAGACAGTGAATTTGAACATTAAACTGAGGAAAACCTGAAATAGAAGAAATTTAATAATGAGTTATTTAACTCACGATAGTTTAAATTGAAGTTTAAGAAAGGAAATTACTAACCCACTGGCATAATTTTTTGGTTTAGTATCTTCAAAATATGTACACAGACCTACAGTTAATTAAATGTTTTTAGAATTGATGCCACAAAATTATAACATAATTTCTCCATAACTATATTGCATCTAGTGGCCAATAAAAACTTTATTTTCAAACTCTAATTTAATAATATTTCATAGAAGTCAAAGAAACTAACATTACATAAATGGGAATATATCTTGGAACTATGTAAATATAACAGTCAGTTAGTACAGGAATATTTTTGACTGCAAATGATGTTTTGAAACTGTGAAACAATATTTGTTTAATAAAAATATACATTGCAACAATACAAGAAACAGCATCATATTTAATCATATTATAGACATGTTGCATTGCTTGACAGTCAAAATATAATACATTTTTTGTGTGGCGAGTGGCTTACTAAAGCTCTGACTGCTCAGTGGGATAAAGTACTGGTTCATTTTCACCACGAAATTAGGAAAGGTACTAAAATTACACTAATTTTAAGTTTTATTATTGTTTTCTGTATTTATTAATTACTGTCCCAATGGTGTATAGTCTGAGCTACTGACAGTGCCATTAATAAACTGTAAAAAATTAATCAGTTACTGTCATTGCACTGAATGTATTACGCAGATGCAAGTGGAATGGATTTCCGTTCCATGCTAAAGAAACGCAAGTATGCAAAGTGGGGTAAAGACAAGGAGGATCCAGATTGGGGCGACTTGAAGGAGGTGGAGAAACCAACCACAACACTAAAGAAAGTTGAGAAGGTAAGCCACTGCTTCACATATTGTTCATACAAGAAACACATTCATAATATATGTGATTATATATAATTCATAGCAAATGCACATGCAAGGATGAACCAGACTTTCAGGAAGTGTTGTTCATAAAAACGATATCATTCAGCACTATCAAGCTGCATTGCCTTGGTTATGATATTCTGTGACTGTGTAATGAGGTGGTACTTGTACTAGTATGTGGAATTCTCTATATGGCCATCATCAAAGCAGTATCAGTAGACTGGTGATGAAGGCAGTATGACCACTGAAACGTTGGTGGACATCTATCAGACTACACAGTACAACAACCCAGAAGACTGCAGACTTCAGACTCACCGCTGTAAAAACCTCAAATCTTACAGACAGATACTTTAGAGAGAAATTCGGGACACATCCTTAAATACGTATATTGAAATAAATTGTAAGATGTAATCCCACAATAATACACATATACATATGATAAAAATATTAATTTCATACAGTAAAGTCATATCCCATTAAAACCCCTGCATTCAGTTTCTATTTTTCTTGCATTTACTTTACAATGAAAACTGTTCACATTGATTATAAGAAAAAATATTTTTATGCTAATGTATGTCTTCCAACTGATGATAATTCCCCGAAACACATGTATTTTGACCCAAACTGTTAAACATCAAAAATATTTGGTAGTTACATGATCAATTGTCCCCTGTCTTGAACATACTGACTGTTACTGGATATTACCAGTGCTATGATTTTGGTTTTCTGGGTTATGATGCCATTTAGTCTTTTTTATGATTACCATCATTACAGAGGAACTTACTGCTTACTTACTGCTTCCATCTTGTGCCTGAAAATGTGGCTATGAGTTCCTCCAGAACATTGGTAGCCACCTACAAGGCTACCGTGTCACAGCCCAGAGCACCACAATTGTCCCCTTCATCACTGTGAGAACCTCAGATCTCACATTATGTATTTATTTCTCCATGATCACAGATAAGTTACTGCTACCAGGCATCTAAGCTACAAACAGGTATTAAAAAGCTTATGTCAGTAAATATAAGTAGTAGGAGTATTTAAAATATTTTACAAGTAGTAGACTTTTATTGTGATTTCATTATCTTTCCTTTATGATTTTTCAGATTATGTACTTTTTTAATTTCCTGATCTCTATTTTTCATAAATTTGTATACACTGGGCAAGGTCTAACCTGACAGTCAAGGCTGATCCTATTGATATTGTGTTCATGCATCACACATTGCTAGCTGTTACAGTCCTGAAGCACACTGGTGTATTGTTGGTTAAATCATACTCTATCCATAACCTGTATTATATTATTTATGTAGGCAAAAACTGATGGGTCCATTCTTGCATATTGCATTGTTTTTATGTACAAATATAACAAAATAATAATATGTAAACAGTATAACTTGTATATGTACCTACATTTCAGCCTTTATTTCAGGTTTCAGTTACATGTGGAAGGCAATTCCAAATGTCTTATTTCAGTGTTGGAATGTGCAGCATCTTTTTCTGTCACGATAACTATGAAACTGTTCTATTTGATGTTAATACTAAACCTGTACTTGGGTCTTCTTTATTTCACTTTCTTTTTTCAAGACTTCTGTGATATATGTGCTAGTGTCTATATTTTCTTGTATTTGTATTGTGAGGTGAGGTATTGTGTATGTCAAAAGATGAAGCTTTTTTAGGTTATTTGAGATTTTTCTATGTGGCAATATTACTCGTGTTGAGGAAAAATGAATTTAAAATTAATTACATCACATAAAGGATCTTCCTAGAATTGACTTATTTGACTTGAATTAATTTAAATATAATTTATTTACCTTCAGAATTTTATAATACAAGAATACCCAATGGAATAAATTTTTTTGACCATTAAATTCACATAATTGAAAACATTTCTGTGGTGTTGTGGAAAATTTTTTTATTAACATTGAAGTTTATTAATGTGGTTATGTACGAAAATAAGTTATAGTTAATCACTTATTTTGCATGAAAGGAATGCTTACTGTTAGTAATGAAACTAAGCATATTTCAGTGGTAAATGCCCCAGTATGGCTGTGCACTATAAGACCAATGAAACAGGAGAAATATAAAAAATATATTTTATCTTCTCCAGACATGAAAAGTTCTAATGTTTTGCCAAGAGTCAGCTCTGTGTAGCCAAGACCTCGTTATAACTGTGCTCATTATAAATGAGTTTGACTGTATGTCACTAAGTCTCTGTAACCTCTTGTATTTTACCACGTCATGTAAATACTCTAAAATGTATGTTTGTAATACATGTTGTCAGTACACAGTATAGAACATGTTCACTGCTTCTTGTTGTTTCTATAAGAAGATAAACGCAGTTGCCACCACCATAATTAATCATCAATAATGTAGAAGGAGAAAATGAGACTAACAGGGAATTTTAAGTGACATAATTTGATTTTCAAAAAGCAAAATATATGAGTAGTTGAGCTGAATTCTTTGTATCTGGTGTAACACAGTCTGTGCTGTTACAACAAAGGCCAACAGGTCAACAGTTAACTTTTCATTGCAAATAATAGTTCTTATAAACTACCACTATGAAGTTACAGATGAGCTCAGTCTGTCAGATGATGTTACATGGATGTGACAGCTTTATTTATGTGGCTATACATGCCAGGGTGACAGGATCTTCCTTTCCTTACAGTTACCTGTTTGGGTTTGTTTTCCAAAAAGTTGTTGCCATAATTTTGGTTTGTGTGGGTATGTGTTGCTTTGTGCCTTCATTGTCAGTATATTGTGTGTATTTTGGTGTTGCTCAAGATTGGGAAATGTTGTTGTTGTACTACTCAGGATAACCAGGAGAATGTGTCCCGATCTGGGAGTGGGCGAAGGTTCTCACTTGCACAGCTAATCCCAGACTGGCCTCGGCTCCAATCAGTATCCATCAGAAAGACTGAGGTCTGATGCTGTTTGAGATGTACTTCATATATGTGCATATAGAGTCTATATGACATATATATGATGTAGCCTATATTTATTTATTGTTCATAATTTTCAATTTTACATTTTTGAATACTCTTTTATATGGCTATTTAATTTATAATTTTCTTTTGTGAACGTTCTTATAATCCATTCTTACCCTGATTGCCTAGTATGAATGCTAATTAACTGTTTTGTATCACCCTATTTAATTTAATATTACCTTATAACTGAGCAGGCATCTTTTTAATATACTTCATCAGTACAGTTTTCTAATCGGAGACTTTCTCTTATTGCCATTTTTTCTTTGTATAATAATATTTGTTATTAAAATACATTTTCACATTGTCCTTAACAATATTTTCAGTAATTACTGCATGGGTCCCTCTAAACATATTTTGGGTAGTGCCTCATTATATGTCAAGTATATTTGAAGATTTCTGTCTTCTGGGTTGTTGCGCTGTGACCAGACTACACAGCACAACAACCCAGAAGACGGAAATCTTCATACTCACCACTGTGAAAACCTCAAATCTTACGTCAAGTATATTTATTTACTTCTGTATCACTTTCCTAAAACATTTTATTTTCAGATACAAGGCTTATATAGCATCAGTCACATTTTCTGCTGTTTAATATTATAGAGAAAATCATAACGATAGTTGATCCCCATTCATTTGGGAAAATTTTTGGGTAGATTTTACAAACATATATTATTACTACAGTATACAGACACACACTTATGGCTTTAGTAATTATATTTCCCAACAAATTTAAAAGTCTTTTGTTAGTCTTAAACAGAGTTTTGTAATTCCCTCTTGATGGTCTTTATTTTTAGTATCTTTAATTTTTTCTAATTTAGTGTTACTTTTATTATGTCATTACATCCATTAATTTGTACACTAGACTCACACTTTTGATTTGGTTTGATTTATGCTTACTTGTCTGCTCTAGATTCATCTTCTAAATTCTTTTATTTATGTTAATAATCTAAGAGATCTTTTTTATTAACATTGTTAAAATTGATAGTAGTAATTCAGTGATACCAGAGTAAAGGAATATTGTAAGTCCTAAGAATTTGACAAATAAAAGAATTATTAGAAATACAAGTTACATGAAAAAGGTTTGTAATGTAGCAATCTTACTTCTGTTGAAATTGTTAGACAATATCTGTTTACCCTGGCACCAACAAAATACCCTCAGTTTTGATCTGTTTATTTCCTAGATCTTCTGTTTCTATTGTAATGAATTTTTTTGTCTTTATTTTCAGTCACAATGTGTAAAAGGAATATTTGCTTTCACTGCACAGTAACACTGCTACATACTCACATGTACATATTATTTAGTAACATACTGCAGATTTTACACGAACTCACTTTGCATTCTACCAAGATTTAACACCTCATCAGCTTTGTGTGAAAGCAGAGTGTCTCTGTAGATACTGTGCAAGTTTCACATAATTCTAATTTTGTGTTTTAGAATAGTGAAAAACTGCCATCACGGAGACCATCCTTGGCGGAGCTTATACCTGATTGGCCAGTTCTCCACCACTTTGAGAAGTTGGAGGTTGGATTAATATGTCTTAGAAATAGTTTTGTTCCATGTATCTTTACTTACATCTGCTGTTCTTCTGTTCTGCTGCTCTGCCCAAGGACTTGTCTTCTCACTCTTGTTGCCAGGATATGAATTTGTGTAATAATTAGTGTATATGTTTATGTAGTTGATTTTAATTTTATGTTGTATGTATCTTTGATGTTACAGTATATTATTTAATAATGTCTTATATGTTTTCACCATCATAAACATGTTGTCTAACTGATATGATTTAATAAGTGTTAAAATGGACCTTCCGACTGTGCTTTAATTACACCATTGTGTTAAATAAACATCCTGGTTTACTATAAATTCTATAATTTTTAAAAGTATACAGAGTAAAATTGTTTTAACTTTAGAAATAGATCAGTGATTAATATGCATACTGAAGGACCAACGTTTGTATGATTACCCATTATTGAGATGATATTAAAATTAAAGTCTAACATTTTCATAATAATAATGAAAGCTAATATTCACTACCTTCAAATACTACATGCATCTTGTTATAATGTATGCTCTTATGAATTAAATTTGTCACAGACATTCTAAGTAGGTATTAAGAATGGGCATGATTTACAATGGCCTGACAGTGTTTTCTCTCCTTTTTATGCTTTCTCTAATCATCATAAATTACAGTATCTCAGTGGAAACTAATGCAACATTGATCAAATAGAGGAAATCCCAAGAAAAGTTCAATTTATGTCAGAAAATGTGGAATGTGTGATGCAAGCATGTACATAAATATTCATGATTTTGTATTCTACTCTGAACAGTGACCATATGTCAGCAAAAATAGTGTTTTATAGGATGTGGCACAAGTGATGGATGCATTTGTGTATATGTTTCTTAGAGACTTGGTATCAAGAATCTGAGTAAAAAGTTTTAATGTGATTGTTGTTTTTAGAGAATTTATTACCAACAAAATGAGAAAAAAATTAATTAAAGCATTATCCCATTTCTCAGATTGTGACTGTTATTGAGGTATTAACCATCACACCATTCACATTTTAAAGATTGTCATCAGCTTTTAATACAGCAATATTAAATGAGCAAATATGAGTGATATAATGCTACTTAAAATATGCAAAGATAATTATTGAAATAATTATATTATAGTATCTAATAGTTGTTTAATATTTTTAAATCAATTATTTCTTAACTTACAGTCAGGTGCATCATGTAAAACATTTGCTGTTCTCACATTGAGTGCAATGAATGAAAAAAGTTGTACATATTCTCAGTTCTCAAATTTATCTTCAAATGAATATTTAAAGTACTTGAATATAACTGAATTACTGAACTCCTCATATGTTAAAGTTTGAATTTTCAATATCAATTTGCCTTTATCACTGTGTTTGTCATTACTGTATTTTCTTTTAGTGTAGCCATATTATGGGAGATCCCAAATTGAAATTAAATAAAAACAAAATTCTGGGCAACAAAAGTACACAGCACTTTATAGGAAGTTTTAAGAGATGTTTTAAACTACAGTAACCTTAACACTAATGTGTATGTGATAATAGAAGTCATAATAAATAGTAACACTTAACAGTAATTAAAAATATAGTTCAAGAATTAGGAAGTTTGTAAATATACCCATTTTATATTTCTGAATGGTATGCCATGGAAATACAATTATTATTGAAATTAGAGTTTTATATCCAAATTATGGCTTTGTATTTTTAATTAATTTATGTTTAAAAATCTCAGTTATTAAATATACACAGCCCATAAAAATTTATGTTTAATACCCTTTTTTATTGATAAAGCATATTCTTTATAAGCAATTCAAATATTTTTCCCATTTTAGTTGTCTTATCCAAATTGAATTAAATGTTATGCCTTGTAATAATCAAAAAAAGATTTGATAATTTCAAAATTATAAAGTATAATTCAGTATGTCTAAATGCAGAACATTTATATATCTCTTCTTTACAAAAGTATTTATTTATATGTAGTTAATATTTCCCATAATACTGAAAGCTGTACAAAATTTACTGAATTATTTATTTATAGTAATATTATTATTGTATAAATTTCTATTCATAAATTTTATATCCACACATGTGGAAGAAATGCTTGATAGTAACCTCATTTAATTGCAGTGAATTTATTGCTGTTAATTTTATCAAATTTTGTCAGTGCGTGAAGATGACTGTCTTCTGAGTTGTTGCACCATGTTGTCTCGTTGCAGTTTACCAACATTTCAGGCAATCAACCTGATGATGAAGGCAACAAGCGCATCTGAAATGTCGGTAAACTGCTACCAGACTACATGGTGCAACAACCCAGAAGACATATATCTTTACACTTGCTGCTGTCAGAACCTGAATTTTCAATTGGTCAGTACTTGTCTGTTATTCACTGGTGCCTTTGGTATGAATATATAAATATCATAAAGCTGACGTCTTTTATACCATATATTTATATATTTTGGGAATAATAATGCACTCATGTGAGACAAATTTTCTCTTTGTATGAAATAGAGTTAAACCTACATGATGTTTCAGTCCCTCTGACAATGACATTAGGATAATTGAATTGAATAATAAATTGACTTTGATAGTGAAATAAGTTTGTGGAATATAAATGTACATCATAATATTGATTTTAGAAACTTAGGTAGTCAAGAGAATGGGTTATTTATATATTTATAATTGGTATTGGTGCTTCTTATAGTTTTGTCAACATTCTTTCATAGTTTTATTTGATTTTACTCTTCTTGCATTTACTATCGAATCATAAAGATTCTTCAACTTCAAAAGTTCAGTCTTTGACTAAGGTGAAAGATGTGAACTTTCTTTTCTTATGTTTCATATGTTTTCTTATGAATTTCAGACATCCTGTTTTTGTTATTATTATTATTGTTTATTTACTTTTACATCTTCTCTTTTCTTTCCTTGGATTAATTATTTCTTCTGTGTTTCTTTATATTTTTAATTTATCTTTCTAGAATTTCTTCTTCTTACATCTGTCTTTTGTATTTTATTGTTTTGTTTAAAATAAGTTATGTTTCCAGATTCCTCAAAGGTGTTAAGTATGGCAGTTTAATTAGGAGGCAACTTCACCATCATCACTTTTCATAAAATATGTTCTATCTTAACTGAGAATGTAAAATTATATGTTTGATCTTTTGATTATCTAGAAACAAGAATCCTTCTTGAAGCCTTTAGTAGACCAACATGCAAAAGAAGGAAAGGACAAGAAAGTAGTGTTTGAGGCTATATTCTCCAAACCTAATTCCAAACCAAAGTGGTTCTTTCGAAAAGATGTAAGTATTGATTTTGCACTATCGGTAGGAGCTAATATTAATGAAGTGGATACTGAAAATTAAAATTATTTTGGTATATATCAATAATGAAAGATGTTATTATATTATTGCTTGTTTCAGTGTGTGTATGTATCTGAGACAATGTGACATATTAAATTGACTGTGTAACCTTTATATTATGGGATTAGGGTATGTAAGTGCTTGAACTACTAGAGTGCCAGTTGGAATTTAATTCTGGGATTTGACTAAGTGCTAAAATATAATGATATAATTTGATAGTAGAGAATATATTTTTTCCCAAACGTATTATAGATTCATAATGTAAAAGTCACTGATAATTTAATGTAGAACTTGGTGTGATGCTGCAGGGCTACAGATTTGAAAATTGCAACTTTCTGTAGACAGTTTTAGATTGAGTAATTTATTGTATAGGCTATATGCACTGCAAAGAATTCGATAAATCACATAAAGGCAATCTTAGTGATTTAAACAAGTCTTTTAGTGGTATTTTTTATTTAATATAGAAGGTTATTGTGAGTTACATGTGTAGCTCAGATGGAAGCTCAAGAAAGATGCACACGAGTATTTTTTTTTAAATTTGTCACTTAAAATAATTCCAGAAATGAGAAGTAAATGACAGGTAGGTTAAAAGTACATAATACAATTTTTTTATCAAATTGGCTGAGGATTTGCTGTAATGTTGCACTTCAGAACAAATATCTTAACATAGGTCTAGAAAAGAACTTTGATTTTTTATAGGAATTATTCTCTGGATCAAAGTACAAGTTTGTTAATGAAAATGATGTGTACAAATTAATCATCAGTACTCCCAAGGTGGAAGATACTGGAAAATACACAATTGAGATTGCTGGCATCGCTTGCACAGCTTACCTAGATGTAGAGGGTAAGTCAACCACATCCTCTTTTTCATAATTGTTACTTAACATGGTGTTAAGTTTGCATTTAATAAATTACACTTTTTCTTACTCTGTGTGACTAAATCTGATTTCATTATTCTAGTACTGGTGTATTATTGAACGTTTAGAATTGATTTTATGCTTTCTTACAAAATCAAGATTATCATGGAAGAGTCAGATTACATATTGATGGTTGACTTGTGGGTTATGGTGTCTTGTAGTCTGGTAGAAGTTTACTAATATTTCAGAGGTCCTTGCTGCCTCCATCATCAGGATGATGGAGGCTGCAAGGACCTCTGGAACACTGGTAAACTTCTACAGGACTACATGGCAATATAACCCAGATCACTGTCATCTTCATATTTACTACTCTTAGAACCTTAAATCCCACTTAGATTACGTGTTATTTTGAATATAATTGAAAAATGAGTTTATAAAAACAAAACACTCTTT